GGATGGATGGAGGATGGATGGATGGATGGATGGATGGATGGAGGGTGGGTGGATGGATGGATGGATGACGGCTGAATGGATGACGGCTGAATGGATGGATGGATGACGGCTGAATGGATGACGGCTGAATGGATGGATGGATGGAAGGTTGGATGAAAGACGGCTGAATGGATGGATGGATGGAAGGTTGGATGAAAGACGGCTGAATGGATGGATGGATGGATGACGGCTGAATGGATGGATGGATGACGGCTGAATGGATGGATGGATGACGGCTGAATGGATGGATGGAAGGATGACGGCTGGATGGATGTTACTGGTTTAAAAGACTTCCAGGACAGTTACACATACATTATTAGCATGTTTGTGTATAAAGGGTGAGATAAGAAAATTATACTCACTGTACCAACAGCAGACAGTGATTATATCATGTATGTAGAATTAGGTCGATAATAGGAGTTATTCCATCCTGGTTTTTTCCTGGTTTAAAATGAGCCTCAGGGAGGTGAGCACACACTCGAGCATCTTTGGTCCACGCAGAGTTTGGAGTTTATAAAGGTTTGGGTATTTTCATGTTATTTTTGACTATTTGATTTAAAGATATCCTCACTAAAGTCCCAGTGATTTACCTTTGGCTTGGAAGCTAAAACCTCTTTAGTACATGTCAAATTTTTGAAATGCAGGAAAAACCTTGGAATCAAGGTAAGTGTGCCACTTACAGAAAACACTACAATCAGTGGTTTTTGACTCTTATGGGAAACCTTTCCTGATCCGCTCTAATGCTGATTATGTATCCTAGTTGAGGAATTTTAGCACTTTGATTCCTGATTTTAAGCAGTGTGGGCTCATCAGCCTCGATATTCCTGAGTCCCTCGTTTCACAGAATGAAATGTGTCAATTACTAAGTGAGACAAAAAAAGAAAAGAAAAATCCAGGAAAGTAAAACCAGAACACGAGGAAACGTGTAAGAGAGAGACAAGTGACTTAACTCAGAGCCCAAAGCTCAGACGGTGATAGAGGCCTAAGTCTGACCTTCTCCCGCTGACAGTGATAGTCTGCAGAGCTCTGTTACCTCTAATCTCCCGCGACAGTCACACATTACAGCTAATCTCTGCTGACAGGCGACCATACTGAAACAGACTAAACTTCCTGTCTTAACAGCGTCTGGATCATACAGTGAAGTCCTGCTTTACGAGTAAGGAAGGTCATATCCTACAAGCCGAAATGTCAATTCTTGTATTACTGTTCGAAATAAAACTAGTGGCAGCGATTGTGTGAAATTCAGTCTAAAGAAGTGCGATGACCTGCTACCAAACAAAACAATGTGTTTATGACGTGTCCTTTAAGCTGCAGAGAGAAGGATGAGGTCAATGAATGCAGAAATATCTCACTGTCACACTGTTTTAGAGACATTTTGCTGAAACATTTAGAAATGTTAACATTTGCTTTGGCTAAAAGTTAGCAGACACTGTCCATAAGGTGCACAGTTTCATTGTTTCAAAGCAGAATCAAAGAGACTGTGACAGCTTTATACTCACATGTACAGTACTGCTCCTAAACAAGAACGAGGACTTGAAATAAGACAGAGACAGTGAGACAAGGCGAGAAAGACACAGGAAGGAGGAAAGTGATGCAAAGAGAGAGTCGTGCAGACAGGTCGGACAGGTAACACTGACCAGACAGACATCAGTTTCTACACTGCTCTTCCTGTGTCTCTATCTCAGCTCCGTCACTGCCACCATCATGTTTTTATTTTTTTTTATCTGTCCTGACTATCAGGTCCTGTTCTTTGTCTTTGCTGGAATTCATTCCTCGTGTGCAGAACAGGACTCTGAACCTCATAAACACGTTTTATATTTTGAAATTACAGGTTCTTTCTTCAAACCATCGACTGCATGAGTTCCTTTGTAATTTGGTGGAGGATGAGACTTGTTTCTTTTCACTCACCTGTTTATGCACTGACCTGCAGGCTGCAGCTAAAAGGCAACGAGCTTCCTGAAGGACTTTTTGTTCCTGTCAGGAGAATCCTTTGAAATGGAATATTGAACAACACTGAGAATACACTGACCTCTCACAGTCTGTCAGGGCGAAATGGTTCCTCACATTTGCTTTGGGAGCGGTTCGCAGCCGAGTGTGAAGCAGCGGGAATGAGGATCAGCACCTCCAAATCTGAGGCCATGGTTCTCAGCCGGAAAAGGGTGGAGTGCCCACTCCGGGTCGGGGATGAGTTCCTGCCCCAAGTGGAGGAGTTCAAGTATCTCGGGGTCTTGTTCGCGAGTGATGGGAGAAGGGAGCCGGAGATCGACAGACGGATTGGGGCTGCAGCTGCAGTAATGCGGACGCTGCACCGGTCCGTCGTGGTGAAGAGGGAGCTGAGTGTAAAAGCGAAGCTCTCAATTTACCGGTCGATCTACGTCCCTACCCTCACCTATGGCCACGAGCTGTGGGTAGTGACCGAAAGAACGAGATCGCGGATACAAGCGGCAGAAATGAGCTTCCTCCGAAGGGTGGCTGGCCTCTCCCTTAGAGATAGGGTGAGAAGTTCGGCCATCCGGGAGGGGCTCAGAGTAGAGCAGCTGCTGCTCCACATCGAAAGGAGCCAGTTGAGGTGGTTGGGGCATCTGACAAGGATGCCCCCTAGGCGCCTCCTGGGTGAGGTGTTCCAGGCTGCTGCCCCCGCGACCCGGCCCCGGACAAAGCGGATGAAAATGGATGGATGGACATTTGCTTTGGGTTTTGTGACACCGTGAAAAAGTCTGCCTCACTCACCAGAAATTACACCTTAAATAAATATCTTTGTAGACACTTTATGAAGTACTTTGTAATAAATTGAAGATAAACTGTTTATTATTTGTGTATTTAAACAGTTTATCTTCAATTTAACCCTTTAAGACCTACCATAGAACCAAGTCCGCCAGAGCTTATATTATATTTTTACATGCTGTAGTGCCATTTTTGGGAGCATTTCAAGTTGATATAAATCAATACAACCATTGTAGCCCAAATTTTAATAATATGTCTGCATTAAGTGCCTAGAAATTACATAAATGGCAAAAAAGTGCAATAAACTACAAAAAAATGTAAAATCGTTTTTGTTTTTTTACCATATATATTTCTAGTTATATATGTATAAATATAATTTAAGAGGCTTATCCCTCAAAACTGTAAATACAAAAGTTGCACAAAATAGTTTCCACCACAGGAAATTTAAACTAAGTGTCTTCGTAGTTTTATTTTTGAAATACACCAATTTTTATATACTGCAGGAAAAATGAAAATAAATATGCAAATTTGCAAAAAAAAAAACAGCATATGCATCAAAATAAACTATTTCCAGCAGTGCAATTTTAGTTCTAAGCATCCCAGAAACGACACAGAAAGTCATAAAGTCAAACATAACTTTTAAAAACACCAGTATAGGCTCATGAGGCCCTGATGGTAAAAAACTACATTTCCGCAAATTGACGTCACTTCCGGTTTCGGGCAGGACATGGAGGACATGCGAAAGTTCGCGCTGATGGACGTAGGAAGTGTTACAAACAGCTGATCGGATCGGCAAACTGTGTTTCTGGAATATTATGTTTTTGTTGCTGCAAGTGCTTTTTATGCAGTTTTTGCAAAGCTATATGTGGAAGGAAACCGTGACCTAGGACAAGCTGATGGCACAAGATGTAAGTACAACTCCTCCGGTTTCATATGCAAAAAAAAATATTGCGCTAGCTTACGTGGTTACAATTCTACAGGGGTTTAAAAATAGTTACGCAAAACGGAGCGTATCCGCTCCGACCGGCTTTAAAGGGTTAATATTCGCTCTAAGATCATGTAACGCAAATCCCAAAACAACTGACTTGTCAAACATTACTCCCAAAATTTGCGACTGCATGTGGTTATTATCCAGTAAGTTTTACTGGCTTTAAAATTTGACTGTAAAACTAATATTTCATGTGACTTATGATCAGGATTCTTACTTTTTTAAAATCCATATAAGAGCGCAGCAGCACTGGAGCTGTTCTCTGAGTTACTCACACCAGTCTTTTTTACAGCACACCGTTAGCTAGCTAGCTAAGCAGTCATGCAGTTAGTTTTTCCTGGTTCCCAGAATGTGAACAGCTCAGGTCTCTTATTTAAATGAAAGAAGATATTGACTGATTTTGGTCATTGAGAGGCTCAGGACACCTTCGGCTTCTTTGGTGACAATTAGAAAGCTTCACTAAGTTTTATTGGTGTAAGCTGGGGTTCGCAGACAATCTGCTGTGGGGGTCAAACGATGTCTTCATTTAACATATTCTGGATAATCTGAGATAATCTGTGTAGTTTTTCTTTGCCTATATCAAAACCACTACTTCAAACTCGGTGGCTGTGCTGGTGGGGGCAGCGGTAGGTGCAGGTGAGGCTGTTTGGAAGTTGTTCTTTGTTGCCGGCCTGCTCCACTCTGTGTCCGTATGTTTGTGGGAACCTCAAACTCCTACATTTATCAAATAAGAGTCAAAGCCTCAATTTAACCCTGACCTAGTTGTTACCTGAACCCTGAAACAAAATCTGAACAAAATGAAAAAATGCAGTTGCTGTAATGGTCTAAAACTCAAACGGGTTCTCACAAAGACAGCTGGACATGTTTTTATAAATAGACTCACTCATGCTGTGAAGATGAGCTACAAAAACATGGGTTACGCTCTTTTCAAACAGTGATTGCAATAGTAACCACTTGTCAGTGTAAGCTGCCTCATGCTTAAATATAATTGCCAACTTAGTCCACATTAATTGCTCCTTAAGTGCATTAATATAGCTGTGAAGAGGAATCAGTGTGTAGATCAGGAGTTCTATTAGCAGCTGCAGTCTTTCACACACAGGTGGTTCCCTGCTTAGTTTAGTCCATTATGGCTGATGTGAGCACCGACACACTGGCCTGTTTGCTCAGAACACATTTCTTCTTTAGACGGAAACACAAATATTACTCACTGGACTTGAGTGCTGAGGAATTGACTTCAATCTCTCCTCCCGTGATTGGCTGGAAAACCGAGAGCTCAGACTGGTAGTGGTCAGGACTCGGGGCCAGGCTTGTGTTAGCCGTGCTCCTCTGCTGGGCTTCATGTTCCTCATAAACCGCCATCAGCTTACAGGAAAACACACAAAATGCAGCAGGTTAGGTTTTTCTGCTTTTGGTATTTTCACATTTAAACAATAACTGCAGCAGAGTAAAGCTTTAGGACATAATATCACAAGTTTTTTACTACCTATTGTAGAAAACAAAGCAGGTTTAAGAGATAACAACCAACATATGGATATCAACAGTGCTCATACTTCACCATTAATCCATAAACAGACTGCTGGCTTCTTTAAATAAACCACAAACAATAGAAGCTCTGTTTGGTTTACTGCATGCACAAGCACTCAACATGTGTTACCTTGTGGATGAGCACGCTATAGAGGACATCCAACGAGCCCAGCATGCCTGTGACAGAGCGTGTCCTACTGATTAACCACTGACTCCATTAATGTCCTCTGTGCATGTGTGCGCACTGTGCTAACTCTAGCTGGGTTATATAGTGGGATCCCTGTCTATTGAGCAGTGCACCGAGTCTGTGTTTAGCCTAACGTTGCACAGAGCTCGTCCACACTGTGTTCTAGGGGCCTCCACGCACAGGCTGAATAGCCCTGTGTGCATGTGTGTGTTTATGTGCATCGTGTCCATAGTGGCTAAGAGTAAAGAAAGGAGACTTTGCCAGCAAAGCCAGAGGCTTCATGTGACAGTGGACACAACAACAACTAGGATTTGTTTGCTGTCTCTTACTCAGGCAGATGCTACTATGTTCCCTCAGTGCAATCTTTTTTCATGGACTGGGATCAGTGGAACAATAATCTACCAGTGTATTTCTGTATATCTGGGTTCTTTGGCGATATATTTTGATGTAAAGTTTTACTAAAAGTTACTGTAATTCCACAATCATAACATCACTGTGTACAGCCCTTTCCACTGTGTGTTGCTAGCAGACCCCACCTTTCACCCTTTATGATTGGGACGCTGCATTAGCTGGCAGCAATTCACAATTGTAATTAATACAACACTCCACAACCTCATTATTATAACTTTCTCATATACAACAGGCACACAGGAAGAGACTAGCAACAAGTAAAATAAGGACCAGGTCCACAGTTAAACTCTCAGCTTTGAGGGAAGCAATTAAAGTGACAACTAATAGGAGTGAGTGACACTGCAGACTGACATGCAAGTGGTTGGTAAATACATTAGAGGTGTCACCTACGCAACTGGAGCCTGGACTGTCAGCTAGTGACAAATTGTCAGCTTTCTGTAGAAGAGGCTTAGTGTGACAGGACTTAAGGACCTGCCTGAGTATCCACCTGTTTTTAGTCTCACAGTAATTCAAAGACACCTCAGTGTTCTCCCTGGGCTCACTGTTTGTGGAGAGGTCGGTGTTAACATTTGTTGGGATGCTATTATTTAACCTCCTAGGACCTGGCGTCCACATATGTGGACATCACATTTTGGGTTATTTAGACCAAAATACTCAATTTTGCTCTACAAGGGCCTGATATCCACTTACGAGGACATTATACTGCTACTGTTCTATCGAAATTTTAAACAAATATCCTCATATGTGGCTCTGATTTTTCCTAAGAAACAAAAATCAGGTAAAAAAATAAATAAATAAATCTGGTCATTCTTTGTTTTTACATTCATTGGGTCCCAATCAGCCCAAATATCAAAGAGAAATCAAAAATGCTGCCGAGGAAGAGTTCGGGTCTTAGGAGGTTGCTGTCAACTCAATCGTAGAAGACGTAGAAGTGTACCTTTACACTTCTACGTCTGCTGCTCAACCAGAAGCTACAACAATAAAAACACAGATGGGGGCGTAATAAGAAATGATTCAGCCTTTAACGCGTCTTTAAATGCAGTGAATACGAGTTGAGATGAATAACTGTTTTAACAAATACTAAGTCAAGATGCAGAAGCAGCAAGTGAAAAACTACATACACCTGGGAACTAAACAGTTTGTGGAACCATTTTTAGCAGAAGTAACTGGAAGCACTCATTTCCTGTATGACTTTATCAGTCTGTGACATCACTGTGGTGGAAATTTGGCCCACTATGCTTAGTAACACAGACCCACCACAGCATTTCAATGGGTTGAGGTCTGGACTTTGACTGGGTCATTACACTAACTTCATTCTTTTCTTTGTCAGCCATAGATGTGCAGATTCACAACTGCTCCTGGGTCATTGTCCTGCTGCATTGCCCAATTATTCCCAAGCTTTAGCTGTCAGACAGCTTCATGTTTAGCTCTACAATACTTTAGTATACAGACGGGTTCAGGTCCTGTGGTGCAAAGTGATGTGTTGTGCAAATCCTGATCAAACGTCTCCCCTTTGGTCAACTTCTTGCTCCAGAAGTCTTGCGGTTTGCTCAGATCAGGTCTTGTCATGTTCTCTTTAGAGAGAAGAGATTTTCTCTCCCAGTCTGTTTGGACTGTCATGAACTTGAACACAGCTGAGATAGTCGTTTTGTTTTCTGTAGGTTTTCCGAGCTTTTCACAGTCTGACCTCGGGCTGAATTTGCTGGGACGTTCACTCCTGGGAAGACCGGCCTCTGTCTTCAATGTTGTGAATCCGCATTCTTACTGCAGACCAATTAAATTCAGACAGTTTGGAAATAGACATTCCTGGGTTGATGAGCAGCAACAACTGGCTCTCATCACCTGGATCTTTGCTCCCAATCAGCAAACTGCCAAAACGCCTGCTTTTATAGAGGCGGCATGACTTATTGATGATCAGTTAATCCAGCACATTTGATTATTAGCGCATGGTTCTACACTTTGGCTTCGTTTTTGTTAAACAAATTATAACCTGTCGGATTTTTAGTTCATCATAATTAAATCATTTTAAATAATTTTATTTCCTATCATTTAAAGAGGGTGTACTTTCTTTTTCCCGTATCTGTACATACTTTTGCTTTTTCTCCAGGAAGAGCCAAATAGTATCAAGTTACACAATATCGCACCTTTCTTGCCATCTTCCCAGCAAATCTCACCAGCTATTCAGCACAATCCAGGCCTCTCCGTCTTTCACACATTCATGTTCTGTCACATTCCCCACTTCCATCTGTCTAACACAGATTTCTCTCTTTGTCTTACTCAATTTTTCCTCTCGTAACAAATCTTCGTTTTTTGCCATATTTCTGTTGACATTGGAATCCTTTTCCCCAGGTCATTCCCAACCTTTTGGTGCCACAGCACATATTTCACATTAGAAAAATCACACGGCACACCACCAACCAAAAATGTGACAAAAAGCATATTGATATTTTTCCCCAAACCAGACATAGTAGAATTGGCTCGGTTTGTCCCCAGTATACCCCTTTTGCTTTATTCTGACCACTACTCACGCTGGGCCTTCACCTGTGTCAGAGTTTTCTCCAGGACCAGACTGACTACTTTTTCTTTTCAAATATTTATCTATTGCTATTACGCGCTGTATCGTCTCACAGCGTGACTATTATGTAATTTCTTCTTCGTCTTCTTCTGTTTACTAGCAGCTGGCAACCCATTTAATTAGAGCAGGTAGTTGCACTGCCCTCTAGTGGAAGAGAATATAATTGTTAAACCCATTACTCACGCCAACCTCCCCAACCTTTTGTGCTCCACGGACCGGTATAATGTCAGACAATATTTCACGGACCGGCCTTTAAGGTGTCGCGGATAAATACAACAAAATAAAACGATACGACCAAGACAAAAACGGTGGGATTTTGTAAACATTATAATAAACGTGAATTCACTGTGTAATTGTGTAACTTTATTAGCAGCGTCCTCCAGAAATGCACCAACAACACTGAGAGTAACATCCTCCTCTCTGCCCCTTAATGCTCTCAGGTCGCTATGGTAACACATAAACATTTCTTTCAAAATAAGACGCACGACTACAACACGGAAAAGACCCAGGGAAACCGAGTTGACAATAAAAACCCTGAAAACCAAAAATTTCACAGCCTCAACTCTCGCGCCCCGGCACCAAACGACTCACGGACCGGTACCAGGCCGTGGCCCGGGGGTTTGGGACCGCTGGTTTAGGGTACCAATCAACTGGAAGATGAAAAAAACCCACTAAATGTGATGAAAGGGATGTTACTTTTATTTTGGACCCTGTTCCAGTTTTTCTTTTCATTCTGAACTTCTACAATATGGATACAATGTACCTGCTTGACACATATCAAAGAAATTAACCATCAGAAGAACATTTAACTTTCTGGATGTAAGAATCAATATTAGTGTCGAGTAAGAGAAATCCATCCAACATGTTTAAGAGGACGGGACAAACTGACAGACAGTTAAAAAGATAATACTTCCAGCCATGTCTGTGTTGGCACAACGTAACAAAAAGAGCTCACATTCCTCACCAGAAAACTGCTTAAGAACAAGACTAATAGCTTCCAGATGAAAACACGCACAGAGCCGTGGCAGAGATCGTTAAAAAAAAGAACATCTGAAAGGATGACTGGAAGAAAAATGTGTAGACAAATTCAACAGAGCCTTGCCAAGTCTCTTAAAAAGCTGAGGGGGGAAGAAAAGAAAGGCAAGCGTAGCAGATATGGGAGGACTCTGCTTCTGTTCTGTTCAACAGGGAACTCAAAGACCTGCCAAACAAAATGACACCACAGCCTGAGCATGGGAGGAAGAGACGGAAAGGTGAGACCGCACCGAGCGAAAGCACCGAAAAAGACAAATGGGCACAGAGAACGTGAGAGACGGAGACGAGAGAGACTTATAAAGATAATAACGAGGCAGACTGACAGATGTGTGGTACTGTAAAAACCTTCAGGATGTCAGAGAGCAAAAAGCAAACCTGCAACTGGAGACTGTCAGAGAGTCACTGTGTCAAATGCAATGACGTGTAAGCAAAATGAAAAGTTACACGCTGCCAATCCCAGCCCTGCTCACCCGTCACCCGCCGAGCACACACATTTTATTTAGAGGAAATTTGAAAACTGATTCCCTGTCACACATCTGAAAAATATTGAACAACTTGGGTCAAAATTTGACTCATTTTATTACCACGAACTGTAATTTTTCTCTCTGCGACTCTTCATCTCAATCGTGT